ATGTGCAGTGATTTCACTAATAAAAATTTTGTTTGCCTGTTAACTTTCTCTGCAACTTTCTAAGGAAATAAACTACACATTTTGAGTCCTTGAAAGATTTACTGTCATTGTCTGTCAACTTATGCAGATGGAAACGTGAAGAAAAAATTAACTTTTGATTAATTAGGCCACTGTTGCCCAATATAAAAGCCTTGGACTTGTTTTATAGAACACGGTTATTAAATATTAAAAGTGATGTTTAGTCTGTTCAGTATTTTTTGTGTTTTATGATTAACCCTTAAAAATAGTACTTAAGATATACCAAATTTTGTGCCAAAATTAAGAAAGTGTTATAGCAGAAAACCTGTCTGAAGATACAAATAATATATTCAGCCATACTTGAAGTCCTTTGACCAAAGCCATTAATCCACCAGTACAACACTATATCATATTTGTATTACATCCTTCTTGGAAAAGAGAGTTCATTTAATTATCAGTCATTCTGACAGATAATTAATTAAAGTTATGTTGTGACAAGTTGACAGTGGGTATATTGTGAATTTAAAATATTTTGGATTTTATTCAATTCAGTAGTCTGATGTGTAAGATGCACTAAACACAAATGAACCACCTGACCAATAATGTTAATTTAAAATATAAAAATGACATTTTTTTTTTCCCAGAAAATCTTTTGTCAGACTCTACATTCTCATAATTTGATTTAGTAAAGAAGATTAATTTAGCAACAGGAGACCAAAACAGATTAAGCTGGATGTTTTACATTACGACAAAATATTATTGCTTCTGGAGTTGAATCTATTTAAATCTCAGAATCTAATTCATGTGAATTGTCTGCTAAGCATAGATGGGATCTTAATTCAGGATTTTCCACTGCAACCCTTCATCTCAGTTTTTGTTTCTTGTTGGCTCACTTTGTTTCCTTACAGGATTGCCCTTTTTTTTTTTTCGTTTTTGGACAGTGGAATCCATTTCCATCTCTCTTTTTCTTTTGAGGAACCATCTGCCATGATGTCCTGATTATCCTGATTTACATAATCTGGTTTACTGTCCTGACTTGGTTTTGTTAAACTCAGCTTTCTGCTTTAACAATCATTATTTTATCACCACAATTCACGTTCCCCAGTCTCTATGGAACAGAGCTGCAGTTTGTTTTTTTTGCCTCTGTCTGTCTCCTGCTGTCTTTTTGTTTTATGCCAGACAGTGGCAGTTTGCTGGCTGGACGGGCCATGTGGGTGTTTGACACATCACACAATGCTGAGGCCCACGACCAATAGCTGTGTGTGTAATTTATCATATATTTTATTTCCTTTTACATGAGTACACAGATGCACCCTTGGCTTCCTGCTGTAGTTCTCTCCATAAGTATCTGGACACACAATTGAATAGATATATGTTAGGTTATACAAACAAGCAAATAAGCTGTTGTTTTTATAGCATGCTCTACCAAGAGATAAGGACATATTGCACAGATGAAAAGCTTAGATATATCTAACAGTTGTATGCTATTATATTTGTGCAGAGCAGATTACTAGTAGAGGCAAATCATATGATTGTCAAAGGGCAGTTTTTCCTCTAGAATATACAACTGATTTATTCTATTCCATCCAAAGACAGCACATAATTCCTCCTCAGTCTTACCTCTCACCCCCTCCCTCTGTTATTTAGCTGGGTTTGCATCGGTGTTGTACGATTGGCTCTTGGGAAAAAGAGCTATCCTAATCACATCTGATGGAAGGCTTGTTTATACCTGCAGCTGTGATTACAGTAACATCTAACAGCTCAGCTCATTAAGAGATGCCAAGTAGAAACTATAGAAAAAATGAAGGTGGGATTTTCTCCAAATGTCTCAGTGTACTGCTATGAACAAATTACTTTATATAAAAAACCTTTAAAAAATGGCCTTTTACATGGGAGGTCATTCTGATAGTCTGAGACATTTTACCCTTGTCTATTTCCTATGCACACAATTGATTGCTGAAAAGCCCTGCATGGTGAGAATTCAACATCTGGCTTCTGTTTACAGATTATAAAATGATTTAGGTATTTCTATACCATTTTGTTAAATGCCACACATCATCTGTAGGTTGTCAAATAGATGTTTATATATTTTAAATTAATCTTGAAATATGTGGATTTAACAAACCCATTATTGATTTTTAATAAGGACTTTGTTATTACAATTTTCTTAAGTACCGGTATACAATTGAATGTGAAAAATATATATTTTTGAGATTACATTATTGCAGTATTTACTTCATCTAATTCTTTTATAACCTTGTGTAGAAGTAAATAAAGAAGTCATTTCATTTGTCAGCCTTTCCCACTGAAGTATATTTTCTACTATAAATATATATATATATATGTGTGTATATAATGATTAAAAAATTATAATCAATTTATTTGTAAAAATATGCTCTATCCTGCATTATACTATTTAACTGTTTTAGTATAGAAACCAGCAACAAAGGAAAACCATGAAAAGCCATATAGGATGATAAGTTTCTATTGAAAAATAATCTGTTTTCTTTCTCGTTGCTACTTCCCCACAGTTTTATGAAAGAAGAAATATTGATCTACTAGTGTCCTTTCTTCTTCATACTGTCTCAGCAGAGTCAGTTTAGAGCCATATTAGTGTGTACTTTTTAAATAACAGCTTTATTACTCTGACATGCTTTCTGTCACTCACCCAAAGTGGATTCTGCTCTTTTTTCTTTTACTCTGCAGGGTTGTATCAGCTCTGACCTTTTACTCTTTCTCTTAGCCTTACTAAGAGTTTGAAAATGCACAGGCAGGGTCCCACCTTGAATTGACTATGGACAAAGAGATAATGTGATAATGTTGTGGTGATCTTTAAAGAAACTCCCTGTAATGCAGTAGAAATGGGCCTTATTGTACTATAGTGGCAAATTTTCTATGAAAAAAAAAGTTTTGTTCTTTTAGACTAGGTGTAATGATGAGACAAATTGGGGACCTTAAGAATTAAACTAGACACAAACATGAACTTTAAAAAGATTTCTTAAAAACAAAATATCTGGATAACAATACACCCTCAGCAACAGGAACCACTAGAAGACACAAGTTAGTGGCCGAGATGAGATTTCAGCAAAATTCAGAAAAAGAGTTACCCAGGATTCTGGTGGAGGCATGAACCCTTTTCTTTGGTTCCTTAGCGTTAGCGGACAACAGTGTGATGATGTCAATGCAGGTAAAGGGGAGGCTTCCTTCATAGTGGCAACCACTGACAGAACTTTGGAGGTAACTAAACTAAATTAGGGCTAGGCAGATCTCGTCAGTCAGATTCAGAAAACAGGTTTGGCAATTTAGTCACATTCAAAGAAAAGCAGATCCAGATATGAGGCTTGAATCTGTGGTCAGAGAATGAAAGGAAATTCAGAACCATGGAGATCGATTCAGGCAAACAAATCCAAAGGCCTCAGAACTTCAAGAAAATCCAGAAAAGGCTAGATGAGACAGGGAAATCAGTAAACAAAACAAGAAAATATCAGGCAGGAAGACTGGCAAGGTAAGGCAAGAACGCTGTATATCTATGCGTATGGTGGCTTTCAAGGATCTGGTATTAACTATATAACCTGGAGAGGTTTATAAACCTCAGAGAGAAGGTGAGCTAAGTCGGGCTGATTGGGAGTGGCCGTCGTTATCAGAGGTGGAATGAATATTCACTCAGCTTGGCAGTAAGTAGCCGAGCAGAACGTAAATATTGGTGAACAGTTAGGACAGAATCATAACCCCAGGTTACTGAGAGATTTATTTCAGATGCAGCATGATGTGGGTTGCATGGTATGTACAGCTTTAAAGCTTATAACATCACCCTCACCTTCTTTAAAACAGCTCATTCAGATTTATGTTTGAATATAAAAAAAAAACACACACAAAAATTACATCTAGTTGTTTTTTGTTTTTTTTGTTGGAAATAATCACAAGGAACATTGGCTTTCAAATCTAATGGCTGAAGGTGCTGGGGGTTGTTTGTTTTCTTAAGAGGGCATCACAGGATCTTTTCTTAACCAGTATGAGAGGTTGACTGAGCACAGGATTAATTGGTTATTTTGACAGATTTATTTGTACACGGAGCCTTAAAAAGTAGTTATACCTATCATATTTTGAAATCCAACAGCTGCAAACTCTGATGTAGGTTATGGGGATGTTATGTGTAGCATGCCTTAATGATTTATAATTGCAGCAGGTTGTTTTAAAACTCATAACCTTGACCTTCCACTTTACCATGATGCACTGTTTTGCATTTCTATCTAAAAAATGAGGTTGTAATGGCTGTACTGCTTGAGATAATAAGGGGGATGAGTACCTTTTCTAGCTTGATGTGATCTATTAAATGAAAGATAAATTGGTGCTCTGCTCATGTTTTTTCAGTTCCTTACTAACAAATGAGTGGATTTCTGGTTGCGAGTATAAATAATTCAAAAACCAACTCGCTTTTCTTTTTTTTTTCCCTTCTTGCTTACTTCCTTGCATGCAGACTCTGGTTTCAGGTCATCTGTTTTCATCTGCCCTCTCTGCATTTATACCCCTCTGCTCTCCTCCTCCAATCCATTTCTTCTTTCCAATGCATCGGTTCACTCTTGAAGCCCTTCAACGCTAGCTCTAATAGCTTTACCTCAGAGTGAATCTCTGTCGGTCTGGCTGTCTTGAGGTCGAGCAGTCTATACTTAAAGTTTGCCCCCGCAGAACTCCAATCAAAACACATGCTGCATAAAATATATGTAGAGATTTATTCTGCACCTTCTGAAAATAAGACATTTCACACAGATTTTGAACAACGAAGCATAAAAAAAATCACACTAAATATTACATTCTGGTACATAGTTTTTAATGAAATATAGATATGAAATAAAAATTGAAAAAAGTACCTTATTTCCAATATATATATTTTTACAAATCTAACAGTTTTTTTTCATAGGATTCATTTAGCCAGTCATTACTGTCTGTCATAGCTCACAATATGTTTTTTTTGCCCTCCACAGGGGAAGTCATATGTGTTTGACCAGGTCTTCCCTACCAACACCACGCAGGAGCAAGTCTACAATACATGTGCCAAACAGATTGTCAGAGGTGAGCAAACAAAATGTTTGTGCCTTTACTCGTTAAGATGCAAGAGTGATACAAGCGCTGAAGGAAGAAAGAAGAGACAGCCGACCTCCTTGTATTAGCATATCCTCCCCATTCTTGATCTTTGTGTTGGCATTGACAGTCTGTACCTCTGTCAGTGATGTATGCGGCAGCAGCATCTCCTTGCAGCAAACAGGAAACCTATTTTCATGACATTTTAGTCACATGTGTATGGGATTAAAATAATATTCAAACAGATTCAAAAGATGCATACTATTTTAACACTAAAGTATAAAGAAACTGCAGGAACTATATTAAAGAATTTGCAACGTGTTTTTCTTTTTCTTTCCCAGCACAACACTCTTTAACCTTGCACAGTCATTGAGTTTAATTGCTTTCAGGTGGGATGCCATTTTTTTCAATAAGGGTGTGTTTGGCTGAAAAAGTAATTAACAATTCAATTAAGCTCTTTATCAGCTGATTACCACATAGCATGAGGCAGGAATGAAATGTAAATTAAATAGATCAAAACTGTTAAATTTGAAGTAGACAGCATCATCTCTGAGAGAGGATAAGACATGGTTCACCAGTTCTTACATTTCCTATATTTAAACAACAGATTATTCCTTTATACAAGTTAACAGAAACATGTTGGAGGGGAAGAGGGCTGAAACAACATTAAACTGGATAAATGGATTTAAACATGGCAAATGGGGCAAGAACTGGGACAATTTCTACAAAAAGATTCAAATGATAAAGAGATAAATATCTTCAGGCATATTTTGACTGTTTTCTCCAGAATATGTTTTGCCAATAACTTAATTTCTGCAACATTATAGGAAAATTGCTTGTGTGTGTGTTTTTTCACTCTGGGGTCCCCTACTGGGCTGGCAATAACAATTACGACCCCTGGTACTGAGAGTTCGCCCTTCCCAGAGGTTTGTTGCTTCTCTCAGCATCACTGGTTTGAGGAAAAAGACCTTTTTCAGAAGCAGAATCCAGGATCAAATTATTAGTACTGGAAGCATCAACATTGTAATGATATCAGACTTTTTTCTTAACATTTATGGCTCAAAAGTCAAGTATTGTCATTCCAGCCTTTATAGAAATCAGTAATGTGCAGTGAGGCCTCAAGCTCAACAATATGAAACCAAAATAATATAATACAAATAATTTAGCTTAATTTTTATCGACATTTTTAGATGTTTTTAAAGCTTCCTATTATGCTATAACAGACAACATATCAAGAAAACTATTTTATAAAAGGGTCAAATTTAAATATTGTTTTTCTATTTTGGCTGAAATGACTTTATTTTTAATAAATAAACTGAAAGCCATGTATGAGATTACCTTTATTTTTACATGAAGTCTACATGAAAGAAGCAGGTCTTAATATTTAGACTTTTACTTAAAACCTCCAGTCCCCAACCTTCACGTTGGTGATGTTTAGTCTATGCTGCCTATTCAATAAGAAATCAATGTGTGTAGCTTAAAACTCATTTGGGTCCCACTTAGATTGAAAGTAGCATGTCCAGATGCTTAAAGGGGTAGAGTTATTTATGCCTACAAAAAAAAAAGACCAAAAACCATGTGATCAAGATCAAATAAAGTATATACACAAAGTGTGCATTCTGATGGTGTTTTGATAATTCTTTGTGAGCCTAAATTGAATTCCAGCACCAAACATGATGTGTAGACATAAACAAACCACCATGTTCACAACCTGCCAGTAGTACTTGCAAAACTATCAGAAAACTAGATGGGAACAATTGAGGCAGCTACTTAATAGTACCCGACGAGTTTGATAGCCCTACAATGCCTCACGAAAAAGCAACATCCAGACATAGTTGCAGACCAAGCAATATTAGTTCAATTAACTCATCTGCAGCAGTTATAGTGAATCTTCCCTAGAGCCTCCTATCAGAACATTATGTGAAAAGGAAATTCTTATTCTTGTCTTTTTCTGGTGCCAGGTCCTTTAATGTTTGCAGGGAGATGCTCCATATCTTCTATAAGTCTGTTGTAGACTGATTTAAAGTGTTGATTTGGAGAAGCTCAATAAGTTAACAAAGAAGACCAGCTCTGTTCTAGGAACTCCTCTAGAACCTCTAGAGACAATTTCACAAAGAATAATTTGTGAAATTAAATGAAGAACATTATGGATGACTCTGAGCATCTAATTTCCCTTTCTGATAAGTAAAGCATTTTTTTTTGTTTTTATTTAATCAAATTTTTGTACGTAACTGGAGTGAGCAACAGGCATATAAGTAAAACTATGTGACTATGACCCTTTAAGCTTTTGAGTTGGTCTGCTTCTCTGAAACTTCCTTTTAAGACTGTAAATCCAATTTAAAAAATCCATTTATTTTTAAAATACCAAATTGAATGTACACAGCAACCTGGACATGCTTATGGAGCTCCGATATCAATGAAGCATGGTATTTTTTGCTTCCCTCTGTCCATTTTCACAGTGGATTTGTAGTGGGCTAGAAAGATAAAACAATTATCACGAACAATTATAAAATATTAAGGACAGGTTGTGGAACTTCAGTATGTTTTTCACATATGTAATAAAACTTGTATATTGGCGATATAGAAAGACAGCAATAGCATTCAGTTATGTGTGACACAGAATCACCAGAAGTGAGGCTGAGCTATTTCCTGCCTCACTTCACCTCCAATATCATATTTTTACATCGCTGATTCATTTATTTAATGATGTTGACCAAAGAAAATTCACACAGAAAACTTTTTTTAACAGTCAAGGGAAAATGTTTTGTTTTTGTCATTGAATCATAAAATGTACTTGTCATGGTGATGGGTGAGACGCTGCCTCCCCTCCAATTTAAGCCTGTGTTGTTGGTGTCATGCCCCTGATGACTGAGAGATGGCACGGGCATTGTGATATTCACAATTTATAAAGTATGTTATATTTTTGACATTTAGGGAATGTAAAAAAATAAATAGAAATAATACATAATAATAAACAAAAAACTGTAACAATTTAATAAAAACAAAATCATTCAGAAATAACTTTTTCAGGAATATTCAACAATTATCATGCTATTTCACATAGACAGGAACCTTTTCTACAGTATCCTGGCTGAGCCCTGTTTCCTGAAGTGAAACCTTTGCTTTGATGCTGTCATGTGAGAAGCATAGCTTATTATTAATATAAAAGAAAGAAAGAAAGAAAGAAAGAAAGAAAGAAAGAAAGAAAGAAAGAAAGAAAGAAAGAAAGAAAGAAAGAAAAAAGGAAAGAAAGAAAGAAAGTGAACATGAACTGGCCTAAAGTAGGGGGTAGAAGCAATCTAAGCAGCAGCTGCAACAATCCACAGTATCTCTATTTAAAAACTGTGAGCTAAATCATTAATTTTCCACATAGAGACAGTGGTGTAGAGTGCTTCCCAAGCTATCAGAGCTCATAGTATATGTATAAGGAGACAAATTGTGAAAGGACCCAGCTGTGCTTGTTGTTTTGAGACTTGGGTAACTTCAGAGATTTGCAAGCTGTACTTTAAATGTAAACTACACCTGTCAGACTGTTGGAAATGTTCTATATATTTCATTTAGAAATAAGGTGTGAGGGAGGAGGATAAGAGCACTGGACTGCTGATTAGGTGTCTATGATTTTATAGCAGTCAGAGTATAGCTTTCAGACTTGAGGTCTCAGTGTTATCAGTGAAAAGCACAGATGTTGGATTTTATGTTGCAGAGTATGTTGGATGACACTTTCTAAGATAATTCTTGAAACCTATCCTGCTTTACCTACCTCCTCTCAAGCATATTTCCATAAGCTGTTAGCAATATTAATGGTCTCCCCTAATCTCTATTACTGATGCTAGTCCCACAAATACCAACATTTATAGATATAAATGCACATTGTGACAAAACATTGTTATTCAGCTGTGATACGGATTGAGGTGACATCAGTCGGTAGAGCAAGCCTATTAGTCAGGAACTAAGGGCAGTAATGTCATGCTTGACCTCACATGGAAATGAGGATTTCCAAATTTTCAACCACATTTTAATGAGACATAGGAGCTGTAGTGTCAGAACACAACTGGATATGTTTCCTTACAATGCTTTAAATCTGTAGAAAATCATTGATCGCACTCAACCTAGTCTTTAAATGAGAAACATTAAGCAGCCTTAGCAAGATTGAAGTTTCTATTTTAGGATGAAAAGTGTTTGAAAAAAGAAAAAATCTAATCGACACCAGTTTGGAGTGGCTGAAGGAATTTGGCTGCCTTAAAGGTTTAGTAAGATTTTGTGCTGACTTAAAACATTATATTATTTAACAATAAAATTCATACCTGGGAAAAGAGTTTACATAATAATTTTTCACACAATTATTACCCATGAGGGTTTAAATCAAAGAAACAAACCCAAGAGCTTAAATCCTGTTTTTTTTTTTTTTCACGTCTCATTTTCCCTCTATGTTTTTTTTTCTTGTTAGGGTTGTATTTATTCTTTACCTTCAAAGCATGAAACTGTGGTGAACTAGGGCATGATATAAAGATTGATTTGGTGCACAAGATTGCTTAGAGTGAGGGATTACCTTGAGGGTTGAGGAAAGATGAAATTAAAGGATCAACATGGGCAGCGGTACAAGGTTGGGAAAATTCTGGGTAAGCATTTCCCAATTTGAGATAGAGATATTCGACAGTCGTCAGAAGGAATCAGAAATTAGAAGAAGGAAATCAAGAAAGGTTAGAAAACATACCGGAGGCTCCCTCTCTTTTGTGTTTTTTATTGTTCCACCTTAACATATTAAAACAATAAACATCTCAGCTCATGTGTATATTTAATTTCATTCTGTTATTGTTTAATAGCTGACGTGGTGCTCTTCATAAACAACTGTATTTTTTATTCCAAATGTTATCTATATTCCTATATTTATTTGTTCTAACCATATGTTTGCTAGTTTATGTGCAGAACTACATCATCAAAACAAAATTTGATTATGATTATAAAAATACTTTATTGTCCTTGCCAGACTTTCAAAATCCAGCACACAGTGCTCTACAAAATAAAAGCCTTTACATTATATAAAGCAATTCATTGCATCATAGGACTCAATATGACCCAACCCAGTTTTGGAAAATAGATTAGGAAAGCTTTTCCACAATACACCCTCCTACAAATTTTAAAATAATAGTCTCACATTTCCAATCTAATAAAGCCTCTATTAATCTAAAAATAGGAAAACATTGTTATTAAAAAACTTATAATAAAATAAGAGAAGTGAGTGGTATGGGCTGTTGAGGTACCATGGCCATCTACGTCACCATAAATTATGGAAAATTAAGTAGTCAAAATATATTGAGATGTAAGTCACCCGCAAGATGTGGTGGCACAAGCTGCCACAAATGCAGTCCCAATCAAGCAATCAAGGACTGTTCCAGTTGTCCATTAAAACACCAATAAAATTTCTCCTTTTTCTCCAGTAAGAAAAATCCTGAGAAAAACAAACAAAAAACATATAAAGACAGAAACTGGAATGAGTCAAACCTAAAGAGCACAGATCCTAACATGCATGCAAACAATAAAGCGGCATTGATTAAAACTGTAAAAAGACTACTTCATAGTTGTTATGAACAATGTCATTTCTCTTAACAGATTATTGGGCTATTTTATTGCGATGAAGTCATGTGGGGTTTTTTCTTTCTCTTATCCTCAGCAATGTTCTCTCTTGTGTTTGCTCTCAAATCTCCTGCTGACTTGGTATCCGGCTTCAACCACTGAACTCATTATTTTTGCTTTTTGTTTGTGATGTTCTCACCCTGACCTGCGTGGAAGTGAGGGAAGACATGTTGTTGTGGCTTCAAAGTCCTGCACAGACAGACAAGAAACAGGGGAACAGGGTTCTGCATGGTTTCAACTCAGAGCCTTTCTGATTTGTTTGTGGTTCTCTGCACTGTGGCCAGTCATGCACAATGATATGTTTGGCTTTTTCTCCGCTGGTTTATTTGTCTGTGTCAGCAATATGACATTCAGCAATGTGGGGTTTTTTATTACCTCAGCTGGTGAATTTGTTGTTGTGCATTTCTTTTCTTTATTTGTCATGGTTCCATATGAATGGAGAGAATAATGTTGCTGCTGCTGGTTGCAACCTGATTGAGTCCCTCTTGGTGATGCTAAAAGCTTCAGGTAGTTGTTGTTTATTGTGTGCAGCCACAGAGGCCGTTCAGTATCCACTCAAGCTTAAATACCACATATTTCATGGTTAGCATGAGGATCAAAGGTCAAATAGACTGATCTTTCTCTGGGCACTCCTTCTCTTCTTGATTACATGTAAGCTCAGCTGCAGCTCAGGTGCCATTTTTTTTATTTTATTTTTACCTATTTGTTATTTTTTTCTCCCTCTCTAACATGTTTTCCTCCTTTTTTCTTCGTTTTAGATGTACTTGGTGGATACAATGGGACTATCTTTGCCTATGGGCAGACCTCTTCGGGAAAAACACACACCATGGAGGTGCGGTATTCCTAAATAATTCAAAGACAACCCTTCTGTTGTGGCACATACATGCACGCTACCACACAAGCTTGTTACTTTTTTTCCTTCCTTCATCTTTGTCATCTTCTCCTCTGCCAGCAATCATGGCAGTATACCCACCTTCATCACAGCCACCATCCTTTATCTCTCAATCCTAGTCTTCTGTGGGAACCATCTTCTTTTTCAACTTTCCCTGGGAAACTGCTCTGGCCCTCTTCAAGTAGAAAAATCCCCTATGTTCTCCTTTTATGCTGTTCTTTCAGTTTAATTCCACCCAGAATGTTTTTCTTTTATCCAGCTGTTCATTTGTATGCCGTTATAGAGCCTTTCTGTGTCCTGCAGGGGAAACTTCATGATCCCAATGCAATGGGAATCATTCCCAGGATAGCCCAGGACATTTTTGAACACATATTCGCCATGGATGAGAACCTGGAGTTTCATATAAAGGTTTGTGTTGCTTTGAATGCATTTCTGATGATGTATGTGAGAATGTTGTCTATTGAATCTTTGATTATCTTTCAAGATCTCTGATGTAATTTTTTTTTTGCTAATAAAAAGCCAAATGAGTTACACACTCTGTTTAAATGTTATAGACTTGAATTATCAATTATATCAGTTACTTAAGATGCTAAATAAAAAAATTAAATAATCCTTTACTAAATATTCATAATTGTATAAAGTTTTAGGAAAAATCCCAAAGTTTTCTTGATTCTGAAATGTGAATTGTGTCATAAAAGCAGTTTAAAGACAGCAGGTTTTTGTCCCCTAAAGAAAACTAACACTAATGGCACACTAATGCTCTATAATATTTATACTCAGATTAAAATCAGTGCTATTGATTAAGGTGTTTTTCTGCCTAATCACGCATTATTTTAGGGAGTGAGTCTTTAATAAACTATTCTGAAGGTGATATTATTTTAAACAGACTATAACTGACCGTATGCACTGTTGAACAACAAAAGACTCTAGGCTGGGGAAAGTTTTGCCTTCCCCCAGGTCAAAGACCAAAGACAGAGCTGCAAGGGGAATATTTTAGATCAAAGGTATCCATGTGTGAGAATGGCTCAGTCAAAGTTCAAATCTACTTAGAATGAAAATCCATGGCAAGATTTAAAATTGCTTTTCGGAAGGTCACCATGTCTAAGCTCGAACTATTCTGCAAAAACCAATGGGTAGAAATATTATTCTAGGGGAGCAAGTCTCCTATTCAATGCATACTGTATATCTCCCAGGTTTTTGAGACTTTATTGTGTAAAAAATAAATGAAAATAATGCAGAAATTTCCCTCCACTTCCCAGCTCTGCAATTTATGCCAGTCTATTGCTTAAATATTCCAATAAAATACATTAAGATTTGATATTTTAATAATATTTCAAAGGTTTGGGGTATTTTTTTGCCTCACACTCTCTTCTGCCTCTCTCAACTTGCAGTATTAGATTCCATGTTTGACTGCCAGGGAGAAATACTGTGTTTTTTAAGTTTCTGGCTGTGTTGCAGGTCTCCTACTTTGAGATCTACATGGAAAAGATCCGGGATCTCCTTGATGGTATGCTTTATGCTTTAGATTAAAGAGTTCATTTTATGCAGAAGGAAAACCTTTAAGTTGCTCTCTGGGGCATGAGGAGGCACACACAAAATGACTGCAAAGAAGAATCAGTACATTTCCTTGTGATGTGTTCTAAATTTGCAGTCAAATGCACTTTGGTCTTATCATGCAGTGTATAAGCAATTAAATGGCTCCCACAATAACAATAAATATTACATTAATTGGACAATAAATTAACATTTTCTGCTTATTTGGTTCAGCCAGAAGGGAAGAAAAAGTGTGTGTTTTTTAACACATCATTGCAGCTTATATGGTATTATCGTACAGAATAAAAATAAAATAAAACCAGTGTTAAATGATGGAGAGCCTTGGATGAAGAGCTGTAAGCAGGGTTCCTTTGATTACAACCTTTATGGGCCTTCAGACAGTGGTCAAAAGCTCCATCTGTATGCATTAGGGTTTATTTAATCTGAGAGATATTCAAAATATGAGCAACCTGAGAGTCAACAACAAGCAAGATGAATTATACGAGTGCAGAAAAAAACCCTCAGTGGGAATTTGCTTGCAAAATTAGATACCAGAGGGTTATAAAAGCTCACATTTACACCCAGATATCTACAAGGAAAAATATCACTGTTATTCTTTGAATTTTAATTATAATCAACATAATATGACTCGAAATTATAAATGCAGAATAATGAGTAGGAGCCTTTGTATAAATACTGTATTTTGTTCACTGACTTCCACAAAGGCATCCATTTATCTTCTCACTGATTTTGACAGGAATAGATTGATGAAAATCTAAAAACAATTATAGACTGTCTTGATGTTTTTACAATGCATTCATAGATGTTGGGTCACAAATATGAAAAGAAAATCATCAGTTCACATTACATGTATATGCAAAAACACATAGAATTGAGCATCCTTTCTCCTCATTCTTCTCTTATGTCATTGCAGTAACAAAAACCAACTTGTCAGTGCATGAAGACAAATATAGGGTTCCTTATGTGAAGGTGAGTCAGCTTCGGATATCATTCAGTTTTGCAACATATTAGACTTTCTAACTTTGCTGATGTTGAGTTTTTATGCTGAAGTTTATTTTGACCTATGATTTGCCTTAAGATTCAAAGTTAATTTGTGAGATTATTGCATTTTGGGAAATGTGTGGGACTTGTAGTTCTGAGTGACCAGGCTGAGTTCTGTTTGCATTTTAAGTCCATAAGAACACATTTTACTCAGTTCACTCATTTAAAAAAAAAAACAAATATTAAGAAGAAAAAGAAAAAAATGTTTCAATCTGAGCTGATAAGTGAAAACTTGTTCAGCTCCAATAACTAGCTGAATATTTGGTGCCTTTTTATAACATTTTAAAGAAATATGTTCACACACATTGTACACTACTTGTTAGTACCACTAGTTTAATCCAAAAAAGTCAAAATAAATACTAACCAAAATCTTGCAACCACAACTGCAGTTGCTTTCGTATGTGAATCCTGTTAAAATTAGAGACATAAAAAATAGAGAAATCAAAAACAAATACTATGATAATCCATTTACAGACTTTTTACCCTCTTCCATTCAGCTAAAAACAGACGGCAGCATAAAGTCATGCAAAGCAGAGGAACCAAGGAGCATGGTTTTATTTTACACCCCTGTTCCTCTTTTAGTTTAAGGTGAAGAGCTTTATAACCATGTTTAATTCATTATTATCTACTAAAAATTATGAGATAAAATACAACGTACTGTCTGGCTCAGAACAAGAGGACCTGGTTTTCGAGGTGGAGAGACTGTTAGGTTTCATAAAATGTTTATTTAAGAAGGAACTGTAGAGAACGGCGTCGGCGTCTAAGCCAGGAACCCCCTGCAGGGGAAGAACAGAGGTTAGATACCATGTCTATCTGATGGAGGATGATAATGAAAGTGTGAGACACTAACCTGGTCTTAAAGTTCAGTCTGTACCCAGGCGATGAGGTTGGTTCCAGCCAGTCCAACAAGGCGCAGCCAACAAGGCATGGCGGGCAAAGCCCACAGAGTCCCAGAGGCTGATGTCCCTGAGGTCGGAGAACAGACAGGGGAGCAGAACCGAGCAGACGAAGGAAGGCAAGATAATCCATAGGGTGAAGCCAAAGCCGGTGTCGAGGAGGTGTTCAAGAGTCAGGGCCAGGAGATCAGATATCCGAAGAGTTACCGAAAGGGATATTCAAGACGGTGTCAGGAATCAGTTCCAAGTTCAGTACACAGGCAGAAATCCAACAGGAATCTGAGGACAGGCTAGGCAAACAGATCAGAACAGGAACCGGCAGGCTCAGATATCCTGAGGCAGAACGGGTCAGGATCAGGCATTTAGAAACACTCAGATAGGCTAGACAACTCTCACCAAGGGCTCGAATAATCTGGTACTGATAACTGGTTGAATGCTGGTTAAATAGAGGCTGGAGCAGATGGATCAGATGAACTGTAATGAGAACTGAGCAGAGATAAGCAGGTAAAGGAAATGAGTAAGCAGACCAGTCATTAGCGCCCAGATCATGACACATATAAAGAATACAACTATAATACATGTCCAAATTTATTGTTTTATTTCACAAATTATGTTTTTTCATAGTGTGCCCCTGGAAAATGTATCACAATTTTATGAAGCCAGTTCATGTTTTGTTCAAATAGCTGCTTTTTAGCAGATGTTTTTCGGTACTTAATGATCTTTTGATACTCAGAAAATGAAGGATTTTATTCAGCATTAGCTTCAAGATGCATCTCATTTAGTTGATTTTCGGCAGGATGATACTTTTAGCACAAATTAGTTGAAAAGTGTATTTATTGTACCTCTAGACATGAGGAGAATGACTTACATATTTATCCTTGATGTTTGGGCTTTGCCTGATCGTCTGACAGAAGCAGAGGTAGCGTTTGCTTTATTTTCAATGACTCAGATAAGCATCATTTGGCTGCCTCATTATTGCATTGAAAAAGGATGAAGAGTGCCATCAATCTTCTAATGTAGCTCACTAACTTTTAGGTTGGCTGTCATTTATCTCTAAACAAATAAGAAATCAGCAAATCTCACACTCTTGCAACTGAGTTGTAGGATCTTTACTCAAAGCAGAGATAAAAGATAAAAGCTGTTAATTCTATTTTTGGGATCATGCGACTCTTTTTGCGTTCTCATGCGTTTTAGGGTATAACTTCAGAAAATTTTTGCAAATGGCAAGATCTTTTTGTTTCTAGATTGATTTAGGCTTATGCATTCTTTCAATAGTCATACACTCTTTGAACATTTCTTTGTTACAGCATAAACTGTATAATTGTGATCTACTAATTCAATACATTCAGGGCTGCACAGAGCGCTTTGTCACCAGTCCAGAGGAAGTGATGGATGTGATAGATGAAGGGAAGGCCAATCGTCACGTTGCAGTCACCAGTGAGTCAATCCGTTGATCTTCCTGATGGTTCGGTGCTCATGCTGTCACTTATTTCATGTCATTTTTTTTTTCAGTGGATGACTGATTTGTGAAGTGTAGTGTGGGGATTTATCAGCTTCATTCAGTCTGTGGAAAAGAAGTGAAATCAAAGTGATTTTTGACTAAAGGCTGCTCCGTTTGACCCTGTCTCTTCTTTATATTTACTCCTAGATATGAATGAGCATAGCTCTCGCAGTCACAGCATCTTCCTGATAAACATCAAACAAGAAAATGTAGAGACGGAGCAGAAACTCTGTGGGAAGCTTTACCTGGTTGACCTCGCTGGAAGTGAGAAGGTAGAAATTAAGTTGGTATTTTCTTTGAAAACTTTAAATGGATCATTCCAAATTTAAATCCAGCAGTGTTTTTTCCTAAGATGTTATAAGAAGTAGATATCCTACCTGCTCTATTTGTATCTTCATTGTAAAGAAACAACAAGGAGTTTTAGAGCTAAAAAGTAATCAGAGATGGGGCGAGATTTCTACTTCCTTAAACAACTCCAATCTTCAAAATGTCACAAAGGTTCAATTAAATGTTTAGATTATTATCAGCTGTGTAAAACAAGGTTAAAGACATAAAAGTCATTCCTTTTTTTCATAAAGACAAAGCTTGTCTGCCATCCTGAACAGTGAACATTCCATCTGGCTGATGTGTCTGATAGAAAGATTAGGTAGAACAATAGGGTCTGCTTTTAAAATAGCTACTTTATGACTCTGTTAGCAGAAAAATTAAAAAGCTTTTTTAATCAAATGTATACCAAGAGCAGAGACAGTTCTAGACTTCTCTTGTGACCCTAAGACACTTACAGAAGCATCCACTTACACTCCCCCCTAATGCAATGTAAGTCAAGACCATTTAACTTGATTGTTCTGAAGAGAACTCATAGAGAACCCACGCCTGTCAGGGGAGAGCATGCTCCACGCACGAAGTTCCCTATGGTGTGGTTCAAACACAGGATTTTCTAGCATGTGTTAGTGCAGTATGAGCAGTATCAGTAGTAGTTGAAGAGGTTTATTGTGTTAGGCTCCTTCCCTCCAAGGTCAAGAGCAGCAGATTGAATGTCAATTATTTTAAAAGGGGTGGATACACTTTAGATAGATGCACTGGAAGTAGATGATGTAATAAATTACATTTAGTTCACATTGAAGATACGACATGCAGGATAATTAATCAAATCTGGGAAATCTGAACTCACAGCACCCATAATTTTGGAATAGGTGCTGTTTTATATTTTGCTAAAAGTGTAAGACAGTGTCAAGAGGATCTTGAAAAAAAATGCTATTGTGTTTTTTTTTTTTTTTATTATAATTGCATACCAACCGTGAGATTTAAAGGCTTTGTTTCAAAAAATTTTTTTTTTCTTAATGCAATACCTTTAATCTTATAGGGTATATACGTTTATTCTATTCAACTTTTTTTGCTTAATCTTTTACTTTAATATTAACAATTACATTTTTATTATTTATTCAATGCAGAGTATATTATTTAACATGATTAAAAAAATAATAAACTATGTAATGGAGCCTGTAGTATGACTCTACATGAATGCATTTGCAGCATAATACCCAACATGAATAAATAAGCAGTTTCCAGAACTATAAACCTTCGTGATACATGGCTATAGAAGAAAACATACCATGCCTTGCATCCATTAACTTTCATCCATGCACATTTGTGGCACATTATCCAGAATTATTGCCTATAAATTATACATAAGCTAAAATTATGACTGGCTGGACATAGTTTTAATTGCTGTTTTTAGGGTTTTCCTGCTAGTTGGACAATCAGGACTATAAGCTGTCCTGAGCTAAAGTCTCCATATTATCTGCGTATTTTAGTGTGTATAAGTGTTTTCTTTTATATATGTTTGTTATGATAGAGTTGCTCATTCTCATTTTGAGCAAGAGTGGGAAACCCCTTCCGGAGATTCTTAAATGTGACGACTGACTTTGCAAACGTTTGTAGATCAGTGATTTAAAGTAATTAAAATTTGGTTGTCCATCATTGGCTACCTTCATAATACATGATGTTTACCAGCTTTAAATAAAATATGTTACTTTCAGTATCTGGTCAGAAAAGCCGACAATAAGTGGTTTTAGATTTTACAGCAGAGATGTTCAACCCTGGTCTTCTAGACCCACTGTTCTCCATATTTATTTGTATTTCTGCTCCCTAAATGAAAGACTCAGTTTATCTCCTTTCCAACCATCAAGGCAGCCAAAGCTTACTATATCACCTGTATTTTTAAATCAGGTGTGTATGCAGGAGAAAAAAAAATCTAAAACATGGAGGACAATATGCCTATAGAAGCAGGGTTAAAAAAAACTGACTCACACTACAAGCAATTCATGTCTTCATTTGTTAATATATTTTTTGTGTGACAACAAATTGTCAGACAAATTGAGACTAAAGACTTAATTAAATAGCAGTATTTTTTTTTTAGTGGTACATTTAGCTCAAAATAGGGCTTGCTCATTTTATTTATTGTGACATAATAATAAGATGCTGCTTCTGGATACACTCTTCAGTTTATAAGACTAGTTTAATACGTAGAGCAGCATGGAGTAGCGTCTACCAAGAGCAGCAAAGATCTGTTTAGTCCTGACAGATCCTGACAGATGAGTTTTGTAGCCTTTTAGTGCTGATAGCTCATCTGTTTGTTGTCTTAGGGCACCTTTGGGGAAGATAAAGAAATGGTTCTGCTCTACCAATTTATTGAAGTTTACTATACTAAAATGGGATAGGATACTGTACACATGCTGCAGCTTTGTCCTGTTATTAAGCTCCCTTTTATCTAGCTCTAATTGGATCCCATGACAATTAGAACACTGTATGCCATGCTTTAAAACAGTTTTGAGAAATCTTCAGAAAACATTGCCGCATCTTCTATCTTTCTTTTCAACATTTTACACTATGCTAATGTATAAGTACAGATTTATTTAGTCTTTAAATTAATTGTTAATATTCAGAAACCAGTCCCAGAAACAAGGAATTAATGCTGCTAATGTTATTTTTGGTTGTTTTGAGTCCATAACAAAGCTGTGCTGAAGAGAGCGATTATTCTTTCACAAGGAAATCAATTTTTTTTTTTTATTGATTGTGCCCTGTTAAATACCACTTTGGCTATTTCATAAATGTTGACCTATTTCTATTTGTAGATGCTCAATATGACATGCAAGAAATAAAAAATAAATATGCACCAACTTGAATGTCTTCTCAGTAAAACACCCCCTATTAAGTGACTGTTCATGTTGCTTTCCTTTAATCATTACACAATAGTTAAATCAAGACAATAAAGGTTTTAAAGTTCATCAAGTGATTTATCAATTATTCAAACTTTAATTAAAAGTAAAACTAACAAATTATGGTAGTTTGGAAAACAGACTGCACCTTGATTATTAAAAATGATTGATTAAATAAATCCAGTGAAGTGCTTTAATAATATGGTTTTGCAAATACAGTTGATAGAGCCCAAATATCGTTAGCATAAACCAAATGAACCAAATAAAGCATGTGATTGATTTTACAAGCACTGTCCAATATATAAAAGATAAAAGTATATGAGTAGGGGAAGAAATTACAACTATATTTATTAGCTTGTTATAGAATGACTGTGTTATTTATTCACACAGAGGATGCTGCATTAGTATTCATGTCATTTTGAACTTTTCTTGTCCCAAAATTGGAAATGTTACAACCCAAAAATAACACAAAAAAATTGTGCAGAAATAGGAACTGGTAGAAATAGCATACATGATTTATATTTTGTCTTGTTTCAAGCAAGTTGATTGCATTTGTATTGTGCGACCTTTGACCTTACAGTCTTAGGTAAAAACGTATCAACTGTCTTTACAGGTCATCTAACTGGTAAATAAAATCTGTGTGTATCTGTATGTAACTTCCTCATGGCAAAAAACGCAGCCTTTCTTTAAAGAGCTTTGTGATGATATAGTTAATAAAATCCCAATAAAATAAAGTTGTTAATAAAATGCTTATATAAAATAAATGTGAAAGATTTCCTTGCCAAGAGGTCTTTTAAATGCACTAAAAGTGTGACCATCCATTAAAAAAATAAAATGATTAAAAATACTACAATTGTAAGATAAAGCACTAATTAATGGCACAAAATATTTTTTTTTTATATTTTTGATACCTCTAAGATTCTCTACAAGTTTGCTTAATCTTTAATGCTATATAAAATCAGAAGAAGAGGATTTAAAAGACATAAAAATATTATTTTTTTCTCAGAGGCAACATACTTAAAGGTAGTGCATTATTAAATTAGCTAAAAAAAAACAAAATACAACAGTTGGTTGTTGTCAGCGCCATCTTCTTTGCTGCTGTATGTCGGGGCAGCAGCATCAGAGCCAGAGACTCCAGCAGACTGGAATAGAACATGGAGAAGGCTGGATCTGTATTCAGCCTCAGGTTGGAGTCTTTGGGGACTGTTGTAGAGAGATGGGTGTTTAAAAAACTGTTATCCATCATAGACAATGAGGAGCGCCCTTTCCAACATACACTGGACAGAGAGCAGATCATCTTCTCTAACAGACTGTTTCAGCTCTGCTGTCGAAGGGACAGATAAAGAAAATCTTTACAATCTTCCACCATTACAGTGTTTAATAAGACCTGTCTGAGCTCTTAACTGTTTTTCATAGCATGCTGCACATCTTAAGCTTACTTTACCATATAGTTTTTGTACTATTGTTTATTTATTGCTGGTCCTAATTAGTGCTGTATTCATATTTCAATACTTCCTGTAAATAGGATTATTGTCTTGCTTTTATTTCTTTTTTTTTCTTCTTCTTCATTTTCATTTTTTGTTCCTTGCCTTGTTGCTACACTGTAATTTCCTAGCTTGGGATCAAAAAAAAAAATCCAAGATCAAAATGTAGAGTTTAAAAAATGTTGACGTTGATTTGGTTTCCTGTCTTTTCCGTATGTATCAGAACATGCATAAGCTTTGCTATTAGAATTGGATTAAACGTTTTTATGAAGCTGTTCATGAACTCATTTCTGCCATGTTTGTGTATTTGTGTCAGGTCAGTAAGACAGGTGCAGAGGGAGCGGTGCTGGATGAGGCTAAGAACATCAACAAGTCTCTGTCAGCTCTAGGGAACGTCATTTCTGCTTTGGCTGAAGGAACGGTATGGTGAAAAATGAAATGCTCTGCAGTCCCTTTAATTCGTCAGTAGCTGCCTCAGGCTTGACTTCTTAATTATTCGTTTTAAAAAGATGACTAATGCTTGTCGGAGGAAAATATATCCTGGATGTAATGAAATACAGGTGTTGGAATGGGACTACATTAATGCCTTCAATATGAAAGTTACTGGATTATCTATTTCCAAAAGACATAACAGTATAAATGTATGCATTGTCATATAACGATAGCCTGTTTGTTGCATAATAGGAGGAGTTAATTGACCCAATTAGGGGGAAAAAAGTAAACTCTTTTCAATGATAACCTTTATTTTTGGCAAGAAAGAGCTGAAATTGATTGTCCACCTGTGTCCATAAATGTTGTGTTGCCTGTTGGTATGAAGTTCCAAATTAAGTGATTAAAAGCACAAAAATTCAAGAAGCATCAAGAAAACAGCAAAGTAGACACAGTAGTCCTGAACAGCGATGACATGAAACTGGGAGTGTAAAGGGCAGTAAAACTGCGGGATCCAGCATAAAGCAATGGGAACTGGTGTACGTACTGAGGAACAAGTGGCGCATGGCTTAATTATAACATGTTAAGTAGCCCAGAAGAAAAAATAAGAGTTATACAACAGAAGTTTGTAACATATCTAGTCTTTACAAACTGATTATTTATCACCTTTCTCCCTCAAGAACTGCTTATCACCAAGTCCCACAAAATATCTCCTTTTAGACCCTTTAACAGTTTGCCACAAGAAAATTTTAATCCATCTTTAGACTTTAAATATGGGTATTAATATCAAGGTATAGTAAATGATAAAATATCATAAAACATGGGTAAGTTGTCTTATTTCTCTTGAATAACATCCCTCTGTGACAGAGAAGGAGCAGCAGTCAGATTAACAGCAGATTATGCTAAAAAAAGCAGGATTTACTTTCATAAGCAGGACCCCCATCCATTTACATTTTTAAGTAACCATTTCTGAATGCATGAAAAATATTAATTCAATAGTTAATTAAATAGATGCAAAACATAATTTTTATTTAGTATAAAAAGTATTTTTATTTAGTCTATTTAATGCATGCATCATAATTGTAATTGACATTTTTTAGCTTTACTAATATAAATCTTGCCACTTTTTAATTTACAAGATAATATAGTAATATTTGAGTTACAAAATATGTGGCCGTTTTGGCTTTCCATACTGGCTCCAGTCACATTTTATAGGCTTCTGTTTGTGTGACATGTTTACATTTATGCTCTACAGCAGGACTGTCTATTTATTTACCTCCACTGCAGCATTGGGGCAGCCGTGCTCACATTGATCACATTCAAAACATTGCAGCCCTTTTACCAATACCTGTTGGTCCAGGCTTAATTATTACTTCATCTAACAAAAAAAAAAAAAAAAAAAAATACAATAAATCCTTAAAAAACACTGCTGAGTTTTTTTTGCCCATCAGAGTGCTTACAAGCTGTGAACGCCTGCACAGACTTTCTGCAGGTGAGAGCAATCCAAGGTTAAACTGTTCAGTTGGCTTGAGGCAGCTGTAACTATGCTATATTAAAAGTGATGGAGACACGACCTGACTCAGGATAGAAGGGAAAATTTAAGTTCATATATTTTCCTTACTGCCTGCAGCACAGCGAGCATTAGGTATTTTGGTTTGATAAAGTTGAAAGAAGCTGTGTCAGCGGCACAGGGTGAGTTGCGTCGTAGTGGTTTTGAGCAGAGAGTTTGGAATCCTGAGGTTCTGAGTTCGAGCCCCACTCCCACAGACTGCCACGGGAAAAAAATAAAAAATAATAACTGAAAGGTATGGTAGGTGGGGTAACTTCCCAAGTACTACAGTGGTTAATCTGAAGAAAGTAATTATAGAAGTTCTTATGTAACTTAAATATAAACATGTATTTCTTTGCAAACATAAAAAATTATGATATTTTGAGGGAAGGAATATTGATGAAGAAATACACGCAAGTCATTCAGCGGTTTTCATGCACTGTCTGATTTATTTTCTGCACAAATCACTTTGCATCTTCTTTGAAGATCTGCTCTTTGAGTGCCAACAAGTTTGCAATGTTGTTACGATGTGCAGAGCTTTAGAAGATCAGGCCTGAAGTGTCTTTTACTGTAAGACTGAAGAGTCAGGGAACTCCTCGGAAAGCAAATGGAAAAAAGGCTGTCAGACTGTCAATGTTGCACTCATCCTTTAGAACTATGCAAGCATTCATTTCCTATTCACTGTACAAGGATTCTGCCTTTTAGAGTGCATTCAGGAGGTTAAACTGGTACAACTCTGAATAATGCAGCTGTTAGAGAGAATTTTTTTCTGTCTTTCTTCTATTCCAATGTGAACAACCGTTATTTCAAAGAAGACCTTTTTTCATTCTTCTGTTTTTTTAATGCATTCATTGAGATCTAAAATTCCTTTTCTTCTCTCCTCCTTTTGTCTTGCAGAAATCTCATGTGCCATATCGTGACAGCAAAATGACTCGTATTCTACAGGACTCGCTGGGTGGGAACTGCCGCACCACCATGTTTATCTGTTGCTCCCCTTCCAGCTACAACGATGCAGAGACTAAATCTACGCTGATGTTTGGCCAACGGTAAGATGCATGTCTGTGCTCAGTAGCCCTAAGCTGGCATCATCCTGTCAGCTTGTGATGCTTCACAAATCGCTGAACTGGGCCATCCCAACTTTTTTGTTGGCCCACACAAGACTCTTTACTTCTTTCTCTTTCCTAAGTTTTGTCACACATTCCTAACTTTTCTACTCCATAATATTGAGTTTGTTAAAAAAAAAAAAAAAAACTCTTTCTGCCAAATCTACCAAGGAGAGTAATCAAGTATTTGCACAAGATTACGCAAACCCTCGTTTAAATTATTTAAATTATACATTGCTTAAGTTAGACCATTACTTTTTTTTATAGGAATTGAGGCAAGTATCTCTCACAGTACAAAAGCGCAAAAACCAAAAGAGAGTCAGTTAAAAAAATGTATTTGTATGTCATCTAAAAAAAGACATATTGAACATAAAGTCCTAATAATCTGCGAAAAATCTGTGTTTGCATTACATCAATCAAACCCTTTCGAAAAATGTTCAGCAGTTCTTTTTTCCTGTTTCCATTGGTTTTTTTATGGCTTACTTTTTTATTTTTTGACTATCCAACTTTTGCATCAAGTCTTAACCCTTTATAGGGCACTCAGTGAAATAAAATGAAAATCCAATTTGCTAGCCAATAGTGTTATTGGAATCCAGGAGAAGACCTTATCACCTTTGTAAAATTCCAAAAATATGGATATTTTGATGGTAAAAAAAATATCAACATAATAACAAGAAATGTCAACTTGCCTGAATATATTAAGAAAAATGACAAAAGTGCTTCTATTAGAAATTGATGAAAAACACTCTGAGAGTGAAAGAAACAGTTTTTCTTTGATCCAACATAACCTTAGAGGCATTAATGCTGAAACCTAAATATAAATGTTAACTAGGCTTATAAACTTTAATTTTACTTTTTAAGTTTTCATTTAGATATTTTCAATTTTTAGCTTTTGTTTCGTGACTTGTAAACTTTTTTTTCCCCAATTTAATTTATAGTAGGTAATATATCATTCAAAAGCTCATCTAATCGGTAAAATGCCAAAATAAGATGTGCAGCAATGTAGCAGGATCTTTCCTGAATGGCTGGATATAGATCTTGTGCTTCTAGATGTTACTGAGGGACAGGGGTGGGAGGTTACTCCATTTGTAAAGTGTATGCAGGTGATCAAAAATGGTAACTTGTCCTATAAAGGCTTAAATTAGAAGACCTGTTGCCTTCAGCCTAATCCACTTGGATTGTTTAGATAAGATTTGGGTGACTTCAAGCTTTTAATTTATCTTTCATGAAGAAGGATGCAAAAAAGGAACACAATTCTATATATATTGGCTTTTCCCTTTTTTTTTCCCTAATAAAGTTTCTAAGTTTTAAGTTCAATGAACATTTTAATTAAATTGTGATTAGCTTTTTGATTTATTCCTATATTTACTTAGATATTTACTTAATTTTTGGACCTTGACCCACAGTATGACTTAATATGATAATTTTCCTTTGCACGTATCTTTTTATCTAAAGTCTAATTGGAAAATATATCAGCATAAACGGTTGTTTGCCCTATAGACAGTAGAAATTACTCATAAACGTAGTAATAGAAATGATATGAACACCATGTTCACTTGCTAGAGTGTGAAATTAAGTAATAGCACATCCTTCTATCCAGTGATGCCTTTTATTGGTGCCAAAAACAGAATAACATTCTCCATCTTCTTAAGATTTTTATAATAGCATAATTTCATTGTAAATGTTTCTTTCAGGGTAAAGCATCAGGCCTCTATAGCTCTGTCGCCCTATTCACACTAAACACTGTTTCCGCATACCCAGTTTGCATACCAATTAATGAGATGGAAGCCAATTTTCACTCTGCAGCCAGACCTTTTCTGTGTTGCCTCACATTTTCTTTTCCCTCTCTTCATACCGTTTTTCTATTCCTTCAACTTCTTTCCTCCGCAATTTTTCTTTTCCTGTCGTTCATTGCAATCCCTTCCTTCTCTGTGCTGCATCCCCTCTAATTAGAGCCAAGACCATTAGAAATACGGTCACAGTGAATCTGGAGCTCACTGCAGAGCAGTGGAAGAAGAAGTACGAGAAGGAAAAGGAGAAGAACAGGTCGATGAAGGAGACTATACAAAGACTTGAAGCTGAGCTGAACCGCTGGAAGAACGGTAATGCTTGCACTGATTACTTTGGCTCAGATATACTTCAACAAGAAAACAGTGAAAATGGCTGTTTGTGTTTGAAAGAGTAGGAAAATGTTGACATTTTCAACAAAACAAGTGGCAGTAGCTTCATGGAATAGTTGTGGGCTGCCAGTTTGAGTGTAATGAAATCTAATATAAGCATACTGTATATCCGAGAAAAAGGCTTTATAGTATTAGCACCCTCCTGTTGACAGACAAGTAATTTAATCCCATTTTCATACAGAAGAAAATACAAAGATAATTTAATAATGTTCTGAATCATTTCTTGTGGAAGTAAGTTAACTATATCTCTGTGAATCAACACAAAGCAGACACAAAACATCCTGTGTTACAGTTCTCATGATTTTTGATAGCATGTGTCAAAGCCTCAACCTTCCACTGATAAGAGGCTTTGGGTACATCAGTGTTTTGCCCATTTGTACGCCAACAACCCTCCTGGTTGTTAACATTTTTCCAGAACTACTCCCTTTTCAAACAATTTCATACAGCTACACTGAACAATCACGTGTCATTATAGCTCTCTTGATTGTTAAGTGTTATAATTTATAGAGGCCAGTCAAATTATTGGTTTGACTGTGGCTCAGGAGGGACTTGCAGTTGCCGGTCTGTGTCGGTGGTTGTGACCTCGTGCAAAATACTTCATTCACCTTGCCTGTTGTTGGTGGTCATAGGACCCAGTGGTGCCAATAGTATGGTAGCCTTGTTTCTGTCAGTCTGCCCCAGGGCACCTGTGGATACAATATAGCATACCACAGTCAGTGGTATGCTACATTAAATTCACCATTAAACATTGAATAGTTCAGAATGATCAAAATTCTGTCTGTTTACTGAATGGCAGAATAATGTTAGAGAATAGTATTTTTTATGTAGTTATTTTTTTTAGGTTCTCCTTACGCTCTTTTCTTTTACCTTATTTTTACTCTTACTTGGCTTTTAAACTGTTTGAGTGTGCTCAAACATTTAGAGTATCCTTCTAGTACCCTAAATTCCTCTCACAATAGCTGGCTAAAATCTAGACCCAGTATTTTAAACAGAAATGATGCAACTAACTATGTCAAGTTTGTAGGCCACCTAGCATACACAAACCCAATTTTTTTGTGTCTGAAATAAGAGCTCTTTGATGGACATTCCAAAACATTCACTTTGCTGTCATTAAGCAATTCTGTAAAAATTATTAAATATAAATTTTTAGTGTTCTACTTAAATGTTGAAGTCTAGCGATGTCGCTTCAAGGCACTAAACAGAGTATCAAAAGTTCATTAGATAAGAGTGGACACAAGGGGCACATTACACCTTTAGCACTTCATTTCAAGTGGAATAATTAAACTATTCTTTTTCCCATATATACTTTTATTATCTATTATTTAATTTTTTTCTAAATTCCCCCATATTTGTATCATATATCATATTCAAGGCATTGATATCCTGCTCAATTTTATGATACAACCTTGAATCCATTTTCTATTTAAAAGTTATGACTTGAATAAAAAAATGCAATACTTGAAGCTGAAAAGATGGTGGCGGTGCTGGAGAAGACCTGCAGATAGAAATCACTACAAAACATCTCCCTGTTCCGGTCCCTTTTTATGCATGGATGACTTTTCACTTACAAGAATACATTTTTTAACAGCCCAAAGGCATTGCTTTTCCTTCCACATTTGGGCAGATTTAACCTTATTTGATCTAATCTGAATACCTGTCTCTGGAAATATAGGAAAAGGGTAGTCGAACAGATTTGTTGGACTTGTGCCAAGAACACATAAACACTCCTTTTTGTCTATCTCTGTTAGCATTTTCTTCAAACTCCTATACTTTGTCCAATTGTATTTCCCATTACAATGTACATGGATAAGTCACTGCACCCAAATTCATGTTTTATGGATCCCTGTGTTTTAATGATAACCTGGCCATTTTACAATTGGAAAACTCATAACTTAGAGTGGTTTTCTCACATATAATCACACCCAAACATCAGCATTTCTTTTCACACACCAACTTACAATGATGTCCATCCACTCTCATCTGTTAGACATTTAAATGTCAGTGGGCTCAGTGGTGATGATTGGTTGAAGTTCAGGCTATGAATCAAATTTCTGCCCTTTGTTTACTGTGAAGACATTTCCCCCAGCACTTGACCTGCATTTTAATGAACTGTAATACATCTTTATTGAACACTGATGAGCAGAAATTATTTCTTTTATAGTTTCATACCGTTGCGTCACTCAAAGTCGTTCTTAAGACTCTTTTTCTCTAGATTGAACTTACATTTTATAGCATTTTGTAGATCATTTTGACAGATTCTTTGCCCCAATTTTCTTTCAACAGTTCCTTTCACTGTTGTCTTTTTCTGGTTGGGCCTCTCTGAGGTGACTGCTGTTCTCCTCCCTCCAGCACTACATTACTGGGCTCTTTAATAAAGATTTGCCCAACAGGTGAAGTTATTACTGTCTTAAACAGGAACATTTGCTTTGATTGCAGTTGTTGCATTACTGAAAGCAGATGGTTTACCAGGATAGAGATCCAAGTCCAAGTCAGTTCAATTTTAATTTTACAATCCAGGAAAGAAAACAATGCTAGCTTTTAGAAAGTTAATTTAGCACAAAAAAACACAATACTGGACCAAGATGTGGTTTTTCTTCTGCTCAGAATATACTTCACTTTAAGCAACCTGCAATAGAGTAAACTGCGAGGAGATGGCCACAAGACACAGAGGAGACCCTGCAAGTTAATTTTTTTTTTAAGGCTACAAATAAGTGCAATGTCTGATTCTGTGTGACTGACTTTATAAGCTTCTATATGATATCTTTGTGTTTAATCAGTGAGATGCTTCCCAAATAATAAACCCTGCCCTTCTACCTTTGCTAAGGTAGAAGAGAAAAATACAACAAAAACAAACAAATAAAAAACTTGGCCAGGGATTTCTGCAATCACAACAAAATAAAAAAAAAAGTTAATCGTATTGACTACAATAACATTTCACACAGTGATTAAAGAATATTGAGTCAATGATGATGCGTATGATATTGGAAACTTCAGTAATGAAGGTGCAAGAAGGATTCTTTTTCTTTCCTCCAGGTCTGACGCTCTGTAATTGCTTGCAGATTTTTAAAGTGCAATCTGGCTCCAGCTTCTAGTAGATTGGTTTTCTGTCGTAGATAGGCAGAAGGGCAAGTAGAAGTTATATGCATAGGAAAAAGAGCAAACAATGTTTTGCTCACACCCTTCACCCACTTGATTTGACAGACATGATCTATAAAGAGTTCCTTATACATATGTTGAACAATTACGTGTTAAAACCAGAAGGGATTGTTGAACATATTGGCAAAGGAATGTGACAATGAAATGTCTTCTAAAAGATCTTTACTTCAAGCATTGTGACTACTCATAGACAGCAGACTTAAAGTGTGAGTCACTCAAAGCTGCTCTAGCGTAGAGATGTGGATAAAAAAACAGCAGAAAACTGACTCAGTTGTTTTCCCTTTCATCATATAAATGACTAAAGGCCTTATATTGATATAAAATATAATTAAAAAAAATTATTAAGTCATAATTAAGTAAAGAATCTTTAATATAACAAATAATTTTTTGTTTATCAGATTGCTTTTTGATATTAGAGTCAACTAATATGTTTAGAAAATATATTTCCAATTTAAAGGGGCACACGCCAAGTTATATGTCTATGGAAAAAAAAGACAAACAACTATTTGATCATATGATAAAATAAGGTTATATACACCAAACATCCATCCTCATTGTGTTTTGATAGTCCCCTTTTGAGTCTAAATAGAATTTGAGCATCAAGCAATCAGAAAGCCAATTAAAAGAGCCTGACTGTCCTGCGATGGCTGATAAAGCAACAGCTTGGTGTGATCTGCAACATTTTAAATTCTAGTGAATCCTTCCCAGAGCCTCTTATCGGTACATATGCACTGTTGACGAGCGCTGAATTGAATCTGATCTTGTTAAGTCTTCTTTTTTCAGTAGTGGAAGTAAAACTGCATCACCAACTCCCCAGCAACAAATAAATGCCTTTGCAGCTTTAGTTAGCGCCTCAGTGAAAACCAACATTCATACTGTTTTCTGAGCATTATTTGAATTTTCTTTAGATCAGACACTTTTTTTTTTGCGTTTTTTTAAACACTGGATCTTGGACCTTCATTATTTTCACACCTCCACCGGGAAGTGCTAACTCCCATTACTTACTTTTTACTCTGTGTACATTTGCAATATTGCACCTCTTTTGTTTTATGTCATGAATATACATGAGGGCTTCATATACTAACAAACTGAGCAAAACAAGCTCAAACCAAGGAGTCATCTTTTAGATAACTGTCTGCAACTGGAGTGAGCTAGTGATATGTAAAATGTCATGACTATGAACCCCTAAATCTTTAAGTTGGGATTAAATTTACTGTGTTAAAAAATTGCATTGAAAATGTTAAAATAATTTTTGCCATTGATGCATTTAGCATTTTTACCTTTTATGTAAAAGGTAATTTTAAGTACAATAAAAAAGCTTGAATACAAGTAAACCTATAATTACCATCAGTTCCTCATTTTCCTTTGTGTTTTGTGTCATAGTTTAGCTTTTACACCTTTCAGAAGCACATCTTGTAAATTCTGACGGTTAATGTTTTTTGGGCAAAAACAGCACGTTTTTTTTTTTTTTTTATTAATATCACTGCTAAGTCATTTAAGCTAATGCTAGGTGGCAGTATTAGAAAAGATGTCTCCCCTGCCGAACCATTTTGAATCCATTATTCAAGTTTATTTTATTAGGTGGAAGCATGGAGAAGATAAACCTCATTATCTTTCTTCATGTTTTCATCCTTAGAGGTTTGTTTGGTTAAGCAAAGGGCAACACATTGAAAAAAATATTTACCTTCTGCCTTTATAGGTGATGTTATTCTAGAGCGGCTGGGTGAAGGATCTGAGGACGCCCCATTTGTGCCTCTGGCTTTTGAAGAGCCAACTCTTGAATTATGCAGCCCGTGCACCCCCTGCACCCCTTGCAGCCCCTGCTCCATAGCCTCATCTATTGTGGTTCATATCTCTGAAGAAGAACGACACAAGTATGAGGAAGAGATCTGCAAACTGTACAAGCAGCTGGATGATAAGGTGATGAATGCAGCAAGGGGAATTCCTGGGAATAAATGTAGAGCTGATTAGAGACCTTTTGTGAGATTCAGTAGGAGTCTGCAGCTAAACAGAGCATGACCCATTAATGCATTATTTATGTGAACATGTAGGGAATTATTTATTAAGAGGAGCAGCTATTAGGAAATCATATCATTCTTAATTCTTTTTGAAAGTGGACTTTTGATTTTAAATATTTAGAATAATGAGTATAGTTTAGTTTTAAATTGCACATATATAGATTTGGCTGATATTTTGTTAATTTGCATGCATTTGCCACTTTTCTACACCATATACAGTATATACATTGAAAAAGTCTTGAAAAGTCAGGCTTATAAAGTGGTCTTGATTGAAACTTTGATGTTCTTTTAAAGCTACTTTGGCTGAACATTTGTAGCTTTTTTTCAGCAAATGGCTACTTAAGTTGAATGAGTATTTTTTTCATCAAGCCACTTGACTGTAATCTATGAATATCAATGGTTTTAAAATAGTTTTAAAATGGTTCTAAACTGACAGGATGAGCCAGTGTTCTGTTGAGCCAGGATGAGCCAGGAACTGTTTTCAATCAGAGATTGTGAACAGTTCCTTTATGCAACTTTAGATAAACCATTCTTATGTGGCACCTACAAGGAGATTCTCAAAACACTATCTGCTGAAAATGTCGAATACAGTTGATGATTGGCTAAAAGATAAATCAAAGTTTCTGAGTCAGGTTTCTTTTGAATGTTGTTTTTGTGTGGCCTTTTTCAAATTGATAAAAAAATTTACTGCTTTAGATACCTTCTACTGTAGGTTGTTTTCTCTTTTCTTACTCTGCCCACATTGTTCCATTTGATGCAATGTCCAAGAACAGGACTTGAACAAAGCAGCTTAAGTTGCAAGGAAAACTTGAGACCTTGAAAAAATCTGCAGTGGTAACGCTTAAATTCACCCTAAAGATGGCAAAAAAGTTTCGTTTCTTTGTAAAAAAGTTTCAGGATAACAAAAAAACAACTGTATTCAACCATGAATTTTATTATGTGCAAAAAAACCCCAACTTTTTCCTGAAATGAAATGATTCTGTGTTAGTGTGTGTGTGTGTGTGTGTGTGTGTGTGTGTGTGTGTGTGTGTGTGTGTGTGTGTGTGTGTGTGTGTGTGTGTGTGTGAAGAAGCTGGTATTTGTCTTTACATTTTTGAATAAATGTTGAGACAGAAACAACTGTTTTTTAAATCTGATTTTTATAATTGATTGTATGGTTTAAAAAGTAATTTTAAGCAGGTCGTAAAGGAAAGTTTGTGATCACAGATAGAACTTAGAAAATCATAAGATAGTCATAAATACATTACCGGTATTAATTGTTTCAATTCCACTGAAGGATGACGAGATCAACCACCAGAGCCAGATGGTGGAGAAGCTAAAGGGGCAGATGCTTGACCAGGAGGAGGTAAAAGATCTTGGTATTTACATCCTTTCATGATTTTGGTTAAACAGCTCACAGTAGGGCAAAGCTCCTGCAAAAGTGCCAGCATGAATCACAGTTAAAACAGAAATCAGCTGTGAAAGGGTTTACCGTTCTGCCCTTGAGATGAGCAAGCTGGAAATAAAACATATTTCCGCTGCCAAAAAGGAGCTTGAGTTAATTAGACAGCGGGAGCTGATCAGTAAGTGTATTTATGCTAAATGAAGTATAAAGCAGAGCGTTGTTCAATTAGTGCAAACACAAATAAAACACCAACGCTTGTTATAAACTCCCCAGAGCTCTTTCTTCGTTTAGATACAAAATGTGCTTGACTTAAATGCTTTTCCGCCAATAGAACTTTTTACTGCCAAGTAAAACACTGGAAATAATTTCTAAAATATTGTATAGCCTTTTAGAAATTTCTGGCCAAACATTTACAGAAGTAAATTCCTTAAACGGTTAAAAACGTATGTATTTACAACAAATTGTTGCTTGTCACATTTTAAATAAAAGGAATTAATATGTCCTGATTTTTTTAATATCCCACAATATTCTGGCTACAGCATAATATATGAAAACATCAAGTTCAATACATAAAACATGAAAAAAAGGAGGAGAAGCAGCGAAAATTCTTTTGTACAGAATTTAGGCATTTATATACGTATATTAGGTGTTTTAGCTTTAGCTAAATGTGGTGCAAATCATCTCTTTTAATGTTTTTTTTTATGTACATTGTCGATGTTAGATAAACTAATAATAAATAATAAGTAATAAATAAATAATAAACTAAACTAACAGTGACACTGCATAAATGTACGTAGGCTTGCGGCATGTTACCTAGGTGACAATTATGATACAGTTTCTATTTCAACATCATGAAGCAGTTGCTTTTGACAGAGATTCAGACTGCATATTTTTTTGGTCTCCACATTACAAGCCTTTTGAATTACCTGTAGAAACTTAATTAACACCAAGAAATAATTTCACTAACAGCCTTATTTAAAAAGGAACAGTTCTTGGCCATAAGTTAATTGTTTAAGGTGTCAATGCTGTAGTGAATACTAACAATAACAATGAAAATATTCATACACAACTGAAACAATGCATTTAAAGTATGGTTTAATGAATATTGCATTACATGAAAGAAGGAACCATCATTTCATTCATGCCCCATAACGAGCCTGCTGTGGCTGAGTTGACATAATCATAACTACAACACCAGATATGTTGCAGTGCAACTCATTTGTTAAAGCAAAGGCTTTGTGCTTTTGTAAATACACTGGAAACCCAGTAGGAGCTGCATCTACACTAAGTGACAGCTTATTCAGGGTTATGACTCTCAGAGGGCTGCAGCAGAAGAGCAAAGACTAGAGGAAAAATAGAATCACCTCTTTCTTTGTAGTGACAATGTAATGTGTGCATTTTAAATGACCGTCATTTGTACAGCTGCATTGCACTGCAGTCTTTTATCTCTTTCTTAAGCATGTAAAATAGTCTTCTAGTATTAAAGGCAGTCCTCCTTTGCAGTAGTTTATTCCTATTTTTATATATNCTAGAGGAAAAATAGAATCACCTCTTTCTTTGTAGTGACAATGTAATGTGTGCATTTTAAATGACCGTCATTTGTACAGCTGCATTGCACTGCAGACATCTATCTCTTTCTTAAGCATGTAAAATAGTCTTCTAGTATTAAAGGCAGTCCTCCTTTGCAGTAGTTTATTCCTATTTTTATATATTATTTTATTTTTAATGCAACTTATATATAACAGAACCTTTTTGCCTTTCAGCTTTTAGCTTCATCCAGGGGAGACAGTGAGAGGGTGCATTCAGAGCTGGGCAGGCTGCAGGCAGAAAATGAATCCTCTAAGACTGAGGTGAAGGAGGTGCTTCAGGCACTGGAGGAGCTGGCTGTAAACTACGACCAAAAAAGCCTGGAGGTCGAGGAGAAAAGCATGCAGAACAAACTCCTAGCTGAAGAACTTGAGAAGAAGATGGTGAGTCTGAGTGTCACTTTGTTGCAAATGCTTCATTTTGCAACAAAAAACGGAAGAAAAAAAAAACGAATACTATGGCTAGAAATTTAGAAAGTGTGAGAAAGGAAATATGCTTGCTTATCTCTTCAAGTCACTATTGGATATATTTCACCAGAGGGCTGCTTCTGAATGCAATTAAACAGACACTGAGGAAATGAGACAGCGGCAGCCATGAAGAGATTTATGAAAAAACAAAAAGGCACTTTGTGAGGTGACATCCACTGTGAATATCAAATACTGAAAAATGTAACCTTATAGAGCACTTAAATTTAAGGATAGTACAATAAACCAATCTAATGGCTTGTGTTGAATATTGTTGTCTTTTATAATGCTTTTTTAAACTTGTTACACAAGTTTGTGTATTTTGAAACTCTTTGTTTTTTGATCAAAAGTAAAAAAAAACTGGAGCACATTTAATGAAAATTATGCAGGTTTTCATGTTTATGCAGTATGAGTATCTCTCACTGTATAATGTGCCCTATTTTGTATATTCCATGTGTATCAGATTAGGGGTGCTTTAATACTTAAAGATCTCCTCCTGGGCCGGTGGGCCTGTTCTTTCCAGGGGGATTGGCCCCCAGACCCGGGAGGATAGTGTATGTATGAGAATAGTAAGAATGAGTTTAATGTCTGCCTCTGTGTGTGTCTCTGTTAAGTTCTTGTTTATGTTTGTATGGTTGTAAGGGTAGGATTGTGTGAATGTGCCTGGATGAATGTGAAGTTGCTTTTGTCTACTTGTAAGGTTGGGTGTTTTTCTGCCCCCCACCTACTGAACATCCTAGGACGTAATAATGAGCAGGGCCTGTCTTGCGCTTGCATATTGACTATGGGTGTGCTGCTCTGACGGGTTATGCTGATCTGACAGAGGACCAGGCCTGGGCCCTCTGGTCCTGTGGGGTCCCCACTAGGGCGCTCCCAGAACTCAGCCCCGTTGGCTCTCATCCGGGTCCAACTTGCAGTCCATCAGCTCACTGCTGTGGCCCTCAGGGACCTCGGCCCTATGGCCTCTGGGGTTGGGCCCCTCAGGGACTGTGCCCTTTTGGGGTTTTGCCCCTCTGGAGTCAGGCTGCAGAAACTCTTGGAGTCAAACTACAGATATATACCAATATTGTGTAATTACCATAGGTTTTACCTTCCGCACACATGGATATCTAAGGGATACCCACTGCTCTGGAAGCTTTTTATTTTTTATTTATTTTTTTTACTTTGGTTGTCTGTTGCCTTCTTTTTGCTGTTGTTATGTTATGTTCCCTGTTTTCTCATTCAATCAATCAATCAATTTTTATTGTAAAATACATTTTGAGTTACAGAGATTTCAGTTTCAGTACAAACCGTTCATCAAATACATCACAAACATGGGGGAGAGGGCTGGACATGGGAAGGATTGGCAGAGGCCATGCGTGCCAAAGAACTCTGCCGTTAGGCGCATTCTTTCAGTTGCCAGGGGGCCCTGCCGTGAGTCGGTTCCTTTAGGACGCTGCCTTTTATCTCTGTGGAAAGATAAGAGCCACATTGGGGACATCTGTTCCTCTCCTATCATACAGGTATGGAAGCAGACTTCTAGGAATTACGGTGTATCTTCTGTTTTGTCCATTTTTGCAGTTTAGTTTTTTTTTCATGCACTCTTTCCTGTCTCTATCTCTGTTTCTCTCTCCTCTTAGTTCTTATGCCCTTGTGCTTTCTCACCTCCCTCCCCGTGTCCGTTGTATAGGATTTTACTCCATAAATAATGTTAAATAAAGTTTCATAAACAAGTATCAAGTGGAACTTTATGGCAACTGTCATGATTGTCTCCTTGTGAAAGCACAGCTGCTGGGCTACCGGCTAACTCTGGGACATCTATTGCCAGAGCCTTATTGACAAAACAGGACACACACAAAAAAAAAACAGTTACCCGCATGTATTGTTCTAAAATACAATAAAGTTAATACTTGACATGTTAGGACAATATATTTTAGGCTGGAATCTGTTTCCAGTTTTACTCCTTGAAAGATTCAGCTTGTGTTCTTTGTATCAGTCGTCAAAACCCTTTTCTTTTTTCAGATGCCTTAAGTTAGATTATGTTTTTTTTTCTGACTAGAGTATAAATGCTTCATAATAATTAAATAACAGTATTTGATGCTTTACTTAATCTAATTGTATATAAAAAGTTTTTTTTGCCATTAACAATTATAGTTATAGGTGAAACAAGTTCCTCTTACCAATAGATTTGCAAAACCCTGGTTATGATTGGATTCTTATTGTAGAGGGGCCGTTTTACCTAGTTTCATTTATTTTTTCCTTAACTTAATGAGAAAAAAGCTTAAAAGTACATTACTTTGATTATTGAACCACGCTTTTTGGAATGCAATCTGTAATTTTTTTTATCTACTCTATTAAAGTAAATGTATCTCTTATCTCCTGATCCTTATAGAATTCTGCAAATGTGGTAAAACCATAATTCAGTTATTGTGACCTATTCTGTGAACCGAGTAAACCTTTCTTCACCCTATTAGAGCCTACTCAATATTTCATGTGCCATTTTACAGCCTGTCAGACGACCATTGCTTTCATCTTTGTCTTTCTGAGAAACCAACCAAGACCTGATGAAAGGAGCTGACAACATAACGATTCTGTGTGCAATTTAGTTCAAACTCTGCTGGCACTGTAATTTGTCCCTGATCATTTCACTTAGCACAACTTCTCCTTTTCATCGCGTTTTGTCGATACCTCTCAGCTGACAGGGATCCTTCACAGGAACGTCTTCTAACATGCTGACCGGCAATACGTTAGACATTACTTCGCTGTGACAGAGCTTTTTCTCAGCTTCATCCTGCATCTTTAGGACTGGATTTTATTTCCGCGTATCTTCAGCAGAGATCATTCATCATTTGACCGCCTCTTTGGTTTTCCTCATCCTCCATTCTAGTTAAGATTTCTCTTTCCTTTGAGGCCATCGCTCAGTGTCATTGCCATTCTTCTGCCTCTCAGTGCACCTTCTTCCATTTATCTAGCTACTTAAGTTAATTTCTATCAATTTCAATTACACTATTCATCACTTCAAGAGTCTTCTCTTGAATATATTTTCATAAATCTCTCTGTGGATAAACTGAATAGTTGTATTAACTTACTCTCTTTGTTCTTTCTATTTATTCATGATTGAATTATCTTTGGGTTAGTGATTGACTGCTGCTTACTCAGAAGTAGAAGTTTGACTGGAGAGGTGACCTGTAAAGTATAACAGAGCATTACGTTAATGAAAGACATGAAGAATATACAGCTGACATTGTAGATTTTGAAACCGCATCAGCTAATATGAATGCAGCATGCTTTCTTTTAGTTAAAAAAAACAAGAGTTGCATGCACCCACATGGACACAGCTGACCCAAATTTAATGGGGCGTTTTTATGCTAATTACTGTGCAAGTTGGTTAAAAAAAGTAAATTTATGTATTGTTCTTGTTCATATATGCTGCTAACGTAAATGCAAACAAACTCCTCCTACTTTATTGACATCCTAGCTGGCAGAAAAAGAGCAAGCCTGCTAATAGTAATTGTATGTAAGATGGTTGACAAGTTCTTTCTCTCTGTAAGAAAAAAATGGTGCAAAGTGATATAGATCTTATACATCATATTCAAGAGGAGCACTTTTTGAACTTTTTGAGGGATTGCATTCAAGTCAATGAGATGATGCATTCAACTGGTTTGCTATACTGGTGAAGAGTCTCAATCATCCAGGTCATCGTCATTCCAAAAAAGTTCAAAAATAATCAACTGGACAAAAGCCTTGTTTTTGTTTAGAAAACATGTTTTCTAAGTCCACAAATTGTTTTCCACTGGTCCACTGGATTGTTTTTTACGTTTTTACATTTTCTATAAAGGAATCCAATAAGTATATAGATTCATTGCATTGTTCTTTTTCTGTCAGTATAGATGATTATGGCTCAAAGCCTAAGAAAACTGAGAATTATGTCAAAAAAAAAAATTGAATCATAACAAACCACAATACAAAATATCACATTTAACACAAAAAAAGTTCTGCTGTGGCTGCCACAGTAACAGGGAATAATGTTGAGCAGACATTTGTCCCTCAGACTGTCATTGTTATTCCCCAGAAAAAAGATTAGCTGCAAAAGGTCATTGCCAGACAAACTGGCTTTTCACAGACCGCTGTATCAAGAAATGCTAATTGAAAGTTTGGTGGAAGAAACAGGTGTGGTAGAGAAAGGTTAAAAAACAACAAGGATAACAACAGCTTTACGAACAGCTTTAAGAGGATTGCAAAGCAAAGTGAATTCAAGCCTCTGTGGGAAGATTAACAAGGTCTGGCCTCAGAGCTTAAAGAGACACCACGCAAAGATGAATACAAAAATTTTGCATTATTTTTGTCAAAGCTCTCCCTTTCCAAAAAGCATGTTTCAAATGAAGAATATGAAGAGTACAGGTTTCCAAAGTCAGTGAGGACAGAGTGTATGTCTACTAACTTCCATCAAGGCTAAAGACAAGGCAGCCATCATCTAGGGCGTTTTAAAGCTGTATGAAGAGCCTGATTACATTTACCAATAGGATTTGGAACTCGGCCACACATGTCCACAAGATAGCAAAGCTGCTTTCATATCCCTGATAACGAGTTAAACTCTGATTAGTCAACAAACTGGCTTGAACTTTTCCCAGAGATAATTTATGGATTATTGTAAAGAGCAAGATAAGATAAACCAGATGACCTGAAGGCCACTAGTAACCTGGGCTTTACTGACACTTAGAAAATGACAGGGCAATTACATAATTGCATTTATATGAAATAGACCTAGGCAGGTTTGTGTGTTCTACACAGCGTAAAAACATACTTTTCAGTAGGCTGACATTTTTTTTTATATAGCTTTTTTATTACCCTGTATAATAAAAAAGTTGCAAAATATAGCTTTTTTTCCTTTTTGCTAAAAAAATTGTCCTATTTATTGAAATTAACAGTTAAAATACATTACAGTGTGCAATGAGTCTGGAGATTTTTATAGTATTGTAATCCACTCTGAAGCCTTATACATATATATATATATATAAGAAATAGGTTTTACAAATATATAGATTGATTTTACTAATATAAATGCTGTATGTAATAGAATAAACACAGATCAGTTGTTTAGACATGTTGACTTTATCAACTTACTTCAAGCAAGAATCAAGAGGAAGCCTTTTTTAATCACACCCAACCTCACTATGAATTTAAATTTTTCATTGTTTGATGCATTTTTTTTCTTCCTGACTATATGCCAGCTTAAACGGAATATGATTAACACAGAAATGCAGCAGATTTCATTCGATTTAATTTGAGTTTATCCTTCAAAAGTCTGAGACTGACAGATATAAATGGAATACATTTAGCATTTTTTGTACCACTGACAGTGTTTTACATTATAGCCATATTCTCTCATGCCTATGGGGGGATTACATATGTGTCAAGATGAAGCTGGAATCAAACCTTTAATATCCTGATTGCTAGGCAACTATGCTTCACACTGAGCCACTGTAGCCACAAGATAAAAATAATAATAAAATAAACAGCAACAGACATACACACTTAAGTACAATTTAGAGAAATCAAATAATCATTATGTTGTTGAAGAGAACCTATGGATGCACAGGAGAGAACATCCAAAGATCACCAGTAATGAAGCAGATTGCAAAATGCAGAGCATGTTTTTTTCACAATTATTATTTAACCCCACATAAATAATGTAAAAATAATATTATATTTGCAGACACAATGTTTCCAATATTCCTTTTTTCCCCCTTTATTTTAGGAATCAAGCACCTGCTTAACTCTGTCTGGTATATTTAGCTGTTTGTGCTTGGCATTGGGATATTTCTGCACCTCAACAGATGGAGAGAAAGAAAGAGAGCGCACACCAGACTGATAAATGTTGGCATCCAGTGGTAGATAGGTGGTGTTTCGCATAATAAAATGTGGTGGTGGTGGGTGGGTGGGGGGTTTGTCTTGTTTTCAATGCAGTGAGGTTAAGGAGAATCGTATTGATGTTGTTGAGTTGTTAATCCGCAGAGTAGAATGATTTTAAGAAAACTGAGACTGATGTGATGTTTCTTCTCAGCTTGACCTGCTTCGTTTTAGAAAAACCTGGCTTTAACCATGCAAATCTCATTTTAAGTAGATCAGTAGAAACATGATTGACCAAATACTGAAAGGAAAATGAAAAGCATCTTGCTGTGTATTTTCTTTTTTAAAAGACCTTGAAAGTAGGGCCTTTTAAAGCGAAGTCCACGAGTTTGACAAACACCTGTAGTTAGATTCTTTTTTACCTGGCCTCTTATGAATAAAACCAATTTTATTCACATTTGAAGTTTTATTCACTCTGATCACGCATTCGAGTAAGAAGGAGTAGAGTTTCTGACTTCAGTGTACAAAAAAGTTTACCGAATGTCTACCAAAGAGACAAAACAGCAGGAATGAAAGAAAAGAAATATGAGTTTCAAAGATAATTAATGAACAGAAAAAAAACCCAATTTATTTTGGGACAATGTTTAAAATCCTAACAGTAACAACCCGTTTACTCAAACCATATCAGTGTAGTCAGTTAATAGTTTAAAAATAAGTGCTGGTTGTATAAGGATGTAAATCTCTAAGTGTATCCTGGTGGCGCCTGTGAAAGTCTGCCATGTTTCTGTTAGTCTGCCCCAGGGCAGCTGTGGCTACAATGTAGCTTGTCACCATCAGTGTGTGAATGTGTGGGTGAACAGGTGAATAACTAAATGTAGTGTAAAGTGCATTGGAGTTCTCTGACTTAAAAAGGCACTAGGTACATTCTATATACCATTTAGCGTTCTAAGAACGTGCTTTGATTCTGCAGAATCATGTGACCTCAAGATAAGATAATGCAAATCTGTATTTCAGTTCAGTTTAAGTCATTTGAAAAACAACAAACAAATGCATTAAAAGATTAAAATTAAAGTCCTTCTCTAATTTGTATTTTCTGCTTGTTTGACATCCTTTCCTTACACACATCTCAACTTCCTTGTCTCCTCCAACAGGCTCACCTTAGGGCTTTAGAGGCAGAGCTGTGCCGTATCCAGGAGGTGAGCAGCCACCAAAGAAAACGCATTGCTGAGGTTCTCAATGGCCTCATGAGAGACCTGCGTGAGTTCAGCACTATAGTTGGAAACAGGGAAATCAAGCTGGTGAGTGAAAAAAAAAATGTATTTGTGGTTTAAGTGATTGTTTTAGCTGCCCTTGTAGATTGACTAATGTCATTAGCTTTGTTCCTCAACTGGTCTCGAATGTTTTTGGGCTATGCTCTTAAAGAAAACGCTGCTCCAACTTAAAGGTATAGTGGAGGATTTTCATGAATTTTTGAATTTTTGAAGACCCACCCTTTCCACTTAAAAAAAAAATGCACATGCACAACGCTGTACCACGTCTCAAGAGGGAACATGTATTAAAAGCGTGTGAGAGCATGCAGGAGCCCATTTGTCCTCGTGCACGCTTTGTTTAAATGTTTCTGTTTGCATCGCTCATACAAGCTTACTTTCCAAAAGAAGATTTGCAATTTTTACACTGTAATGAAAAAGGCTGCTCTGAATTTACACTCAAAGACTTTCAGATTAATATTTGAAAAGTATTTTTAAAAAATCCTTTCACTTTAATTCATGCTGGGCCACCACTAAACAAATAAAATGTGGTTTTATTGGTATGAAAAATTGGTGGTATGAAAAAATGCAAACAAGTTCACGATCTACTATTTTTAATACCACTGTAACAAATACTGCAGTAACAATGAATAAGACTTAATGGACCTATGTTGTAGAATCAGTAGAATATGCGACATTGAGATTGATGTGTTTATTTCTTTAATTCTCCACAGACCATTGAAAACCAGCTTAGTCACAGCATCTGCTAAACAATGCTGTTAATCAAATGTTTAAGTTCAAAAGATCCCACAAAGTCTTTGCTTTTCTCCTTCCACTCTGTTTCATTTCCCAGCCATCTTTCAATCGTTGCCACTCAATCTTGATAAGCATCAGCTCTGCTAGGGTTTCAGCAGCTTCTCCTGCTGTGTGTGTTATTTATCTCCAGCCCGTTGAGATCAGTGGTGCAGTCGAGGAGGAGTTCACAGTGGCCCGGCTCTACATCAGCAAGATAAAGTCTGAGGTGAAGTCCATGGTGAAACGCTGCCGACACCTGGAGAACCTCCAAACGGAGTGCAACAAAAAGATGGAGGAAACAAGCCGAGAGCTGTCGTCATGCCATCTTCTTGTCTCGCAGGTGCAGATCTAAACTGATCAGTTAGTCCTTGTTTATTACCAAGGAAACAAAGATGATCAGGATGAGAAAATAAAATTGTCAATCTGTTTCCCTGCATGGAAATACTGGTGTTATTGTGACAAAAATAAGGAGAACAGACATCAGAGCCTCAAATACTCCATAACAGATTATCATCTCCATTATCTTTCAAGCACACTCCTTTATCTGTTTTATTGCCGTCTAGTGGGCCTTTGTGTGATTTAGATTACTTTGATGAAAAGTAATTAATGCTTTGAAGTTTCTGTCCTTTGTTTGTGGAGATGTTCAATTCTTTTCCGTCAGTCCTTATTTATGCATCCAATTCTGATTCTTAAAGTGTGGAGTGTTTTATATTCTGTCTGCGACCGAGGTTGTCTGCAGTTATCTGGAGGTAAATTTTACTATCTTTGGTGTTTAAACTAAATTCCCTAATGACTGAGCCTCATAAATATTTGATGTGAGCACATTCATTCAGCTTAGCAGGAGAGTTCTTCATCTTTAGTGGAGGGTTCTCATGGGTAAAGTTTTATTATTATTTTTTTTCTTATCTTTAAGCTTTCTGCATCTGAGATTAACATTGTGACTTTCAGCATGAGGCAAAGATCCAGTCTTTGGTGGAGTACATGCAGAATATGGACTTAAAGAAGCGACAACTGGAGGAGAGCTACGATTCCCTGACTGAGGAGCTGGCCAAGCTCAGAGCTCAAGGTACAGCTGAGTAATACCTGAATCCCTGTGGTCTAAAATAAAAACAAGCATAAAGCTAAAACTGCAGACACTCCCTGCAGCCCTGTGAAAGTCCTACTGTTAACCAACACAGCCTTTCAGCTATATGTAGATGCTATATTTCTAACTAGTTAGGTCTGTAATGCTGACTTAAAAAAAAAAAAATGGAGTCACATCAGTTATAATTACTTTTTTTTTAAATTAAACTATTTGTGCAGCAGATGTATAAGCTAATTCTATTCTATCATAATTTCATCAGATGATTGCTGAAGGTTACAAGGTTCTTTAGAATTACTCTGAAAACTGTACAGAAATGTACTGATATTAGAAAATATTATTTGTATTTTTGAATATTACTTCAAAATGCATGTATATTTGGATACTTAAGTATTTTCAAATGTGAGTACTTAAAAACTTTAACTTGAGTAGATGTTTGCCTAAGTAACTTTTACATGTAGTTAGGTAAGATTTGACTATGAGTATAAATACTTTTACTCAGGTACTACTGCTGAGTACTTTGTCCACCACTGGTTCTAACCACAATATCCATCCTTTGACTTCAGCGAGCCTTTTTTGTTTCTTATTGAATCAGTGGCACTGTACCGTCGCCTCTTCTCTTAGTCTGTTCATGGTATACTTAACACATGCATTTCAGCTCCTAAGTTAATCAGTGTCAAGTATGTGTACCTCAGCTCCCTGCTCATCCCTGCCCTGTCCTAAGTAAAAATCTCTTCCAGCTGTGTCCAAGTGATGTAATGTCAATACCTATATATGAAAAGTAATTAGTTATATGACATTTACAATGAAAAAATCCTAAAGTTACCCCACTAAAATGTAACACAAGCCTAATGCAATTTTATCCAACCTTTTTTTTATTTCAGCTAATACGAGCAAAATCCAGTGAAGTCCTTTGGGTCTGTAGCTATTACATCTAGATGCCAAATGTTGCTGTCAAGTAATTTGCTGATTGCCTATTTGTGTTAAAAAGCAATTGAACCTGCGTACCTAATAAAGTGGCCAGTTATGCCCCTACTCATCAGACTCCAATTGGCCTCCCTGTCTACAGTAAATGTTGCAGAGTTAAAGTAACACTCAAGAGTACATTTGGTCCCACTATGAATTAGTGTGGGACCAAATTTACTCTCAAAGTGTTGCTTTAACACTGCAACGTTTACTGTACTCCACTTAAACATTTCCCATACTCATTCCGTAAAAATTCAAAAAATATCCACTGGACTTGGTTTTCAAGGTCCAGTGGATATTTTTTGAATTTTTACGGAATGACTATGACCTGGATGACTGAGAACCTTCATCAGCATTTCCCATACTGTTTTTTTAAGTACAGCTACTGGGTGACTTTTTCCCTGCACTGAAATAAGTGCAATCAGAGGATGTGGTTCTATGTTCTATGAATCTTGAACAGTTTTATTAAGAAACAACCAAAAAAAACCAACAACTGTATTTTACAAGATGTGAAGAGGCCTAACACTTAACCTGTTCAAGGAGAAGATGTACTCATGAGTTCTAAAAACTTTAAATAAACATCTGGGTATACTGGTGCCAACAAACAATCTCTATTTTATGTTGAAGGAGGAGAATTGTGCCTTGTATGGTGGGAATGTTAATTGATAATCCTTGATGTTGTTTGACATTCCATCGTTCACCTGTGAAGGACGAAGGACTGCTCCAGTTTGCAGATCATGATAAATTGCAGACGGTTGGCAAAGTCAAATGTTAAGGTCAGCATTCTGTAGCAGGCAAATGTAATCACGTCTTAGCAAAATTAATGGCAAGGAAACCGCCAAACAATCTTTGTTTCAGACTAAGCGAAGTGAAGAAATTGAGTTCCTGTTAAAAAGTGTTTCTTGCTTCAGTGGAGCATTTTATTCTGTCACTGTTTTTTATGTCGCTGAGGACGGACAAAACAAAGCTAAATAAACATTTTTCAGGACCAGCAGAAAAAAAAGATTAATGGTGGATTTGAAATCTGTGCACAGTGCAGCTAACTGCAGGTGCTCCCAGTGCACTGACACAATTCACAAATCAGGCCAGAGGGAATGTAAGTCATTCTAACTGTTGTTTCCCAGAGAGGAGAATTAAATAACCAACAGGTTTTAGAACTTGTAAATTAATTTTGGTCATACTCAATAAGCCAGGCAGGCAGACCTTGAAGCAGTTGTTAAATACAAAGTCCGTAGTGATTGCAGTGCCTGGAGCAAGGTGCAGAGCTCAGTGGTTTCACTTTTAGACAGCAGTGAGTCAATATCAGGTTAGGGTGACCCAAAGATTTCATTTACTACCACATTCTTTCTCACTACAATCATGACTGATGTCTACATGATCAACTTTTAATGGTGGATTATCGGGTCAAAGCAGTAATAAAACTGTTGGGTGACTCATAGTAACACCCTGTCTGCTCAGTTCTTTTGTTCAAACCATCTCACATTCCTCTTACTCTTTTTTTCTGAAAATATTTGTTTTCAGAAAGCATGTCATGGGTGACCAGTGGGGAAAACAGCACATCTCTCCAGTCTGATATTAAGGTAACTATTATTACAATTAGAGTGGTTTCATATACTGTGATTTTATTACACTGCTTCAGCACCTAGTTAAACGCAGGTGTTGGCAAAGTGTTTTACTTGCTGTGGATCTACAGATCATGCTGTGTTTTAGTGCACTCCAGAATTACAACTAAGAAAATTATAAAATAAGGTTTATTTCTAAAACAGTACAGTTGAAATGTTTGGGTTCCTACGCAGTTGGGTAATGTTTAGTAAAGATTTAAAATTGGAAACAAAGTACTTTGCAGCTCCTTTAGGGCTGGAAAAGCTTATGAAGTGTGAAAAAATGTATTAGCAGAATCCATGTGCCATTTTTTAAATGTTGCATCCATCC